TATATATATATATATATATATATATATATATATACATATATATGTATGTATATATTGCCACTTATCTTTGTAATTGTTTTGTTCCATGTAAAGTGTCTTAAGAGCCTTCAAAAGTTATAAAAAATAAACCAATGAAGGGAAGATAGTACATAATACAATTATAGCTCCAAACCCTGCTACAAAATGTAAACTTTAAATTCTGTCAAAAGAACTGGAATGAGATAAAATCCTTCTTACTCAGTTTCCTGGATTTTTTCACTTCCATTTTTAAGTTACCAGACTTGTCTGAAGTGCCCAGAATATTTTCCAGCTCTCTGGTGCCCTCTAAAGCCTGAAAAACAGATTTATTTATTTTTTTAAAAAAGTCAGTATCAGTGCTAAGGTTTTTAACCTAAAAAAAACATTCCTTAAGCCTTCCATTTTTTTCACAATTCATAATGGCTACATAAACATACCATATTACTAGCATGTAATATTAGAAATATGCCCAATAGGATCAGCCCCATGAAGTTGAAAGTTAATTTCCTGGCTATATTTGATAGGTTGGAGAACCGAGAAAACCAGGAATTCCATTTTGGATATGAATTGAAGATTGCCTGTTGTGGTATTCTTCGGATTATTTCACTATCTCTCCTAGAGCAAATCAGATAAAATGAAGAGTTTCCCATAACACTGTCTTAATATCATGCACCAACATTTCCCAATGAAAATGCAGGGATGGTTGGACAGTGATTTTAATTCAGATATCCCCCAGTCCAAATTCATATTTAGCCACTATATCAAGATTCAAACATTTTTAAGGCTAAGGGAAACATCAGACTTTTAAAAAGCATATCAGAGGTTGCACTGCAAAAGAATAGGATTACTTACATATTTTAAAGAAGTTGTACTATTACTTACTTATAATTCAATTATTCCACTGTTACATTTTAAATATTCACTGACAGGAATCCCCATATTTTTCAATTATTACTAAATTTGAACAAAATTAAAAGCAAAGCCACCCCCAAGTCCTCTTACACATGTACACCTCTCAGACAGTGAAAGTAGCAGGTGAATGTAGAAGGTGGCAGCATTAGCAAAGAATTTGTGAGAATGTAGAGAGTTGTTTCAGACCCCCTAGAAAGATGTAATGGGAAAAAAGAGTCACCTTGAAGAACAGGATGAAGATCCATAACCAAGACTATAGTCAGAAAAGAAATCTAAATTCAGAGCAAACTGTAGCCTAGGCAAGCATCTCAGAAAAAGACCTTCTCTAGTTCTCACAAAGACAAAGGAAGAGAGCAAGGAAATGCACTCAGACTTGCAACATTCTGTTCATATAAACTTATAATAAATATAGCATTAGTGTGCATGACTTTGGTTCCCTAGTCTGGTTTACCTTGAAGCAATGGCACAAGCATACATATGCATCTATGGAATACTTAGTATTTCTACTGAACTCTGTCATTATGAGAGTAGTTATGAATAATTATTCAGCCACACACAGATACACTAAATTGAGTTAAAGTTTACTTTAAGAAATAGCACAGTCCAATAAACGGTCCAGGTCATATACGTTTTACAGTCCAAAGAATATCCAATTACAAAGTCTTCTTACCGGTTGCCTTCGTTATTTACAGTAAACAAAAATATCAAAGTATAAGCACAGCATAAATACAACAGGGAACCTTAGATAGCAACAGAATGTCAGAGAGAGCAAGCTATGATCTCTAGCTTCCTCTTATGGTAATTTGCAATATAATCAACCAATCAGAATATAGTATAAATCAATACAGTGATTTTGTCTTAAAGCTACAAACATACATCGTTGGTTTATATATTGCCAACCCAACTAATTGGTGGACAGATTCCTAACAAACTCAATTCACAATGAGAAAAAAGAAGAATCTAAGGACTAAGCTGTAATAAAGGGAGAGGGAAATCAAGAGAATTGAATTAATTTGATAAAGTGGAAAAGAATAATGATGGACCTTCAAATTGGTTAGTTTTTTTCGGGTTTGCAGGAATCTTTCCACAGAATGTTCAACTTCAGACTGCAATACCAAGAGTCTGTGTAAAAAGACAAATACAACATTAATGGCACAATACTTGAAACAAGAATGAGCAAAATAGAGACAAGGAAAATCTAGAGCTTCCATGTAAGGTTGCGCTTTTAGCAAACAACTTCTCCCTATCCCAGTTAAGGTTAAAACAACAGCCATATAAAGTTGCAACTATTTACATTATGGCATGCATCTGAAAAATATTTCTAGTTCATCAGGTTTCTTCCTGGTTGCATTAAGATTGCAAACATGCTTCAGTGTACTAATTTAGTATCTACTTACCCAGATATCCCAGTGTTAGAACTGCACATTAGAATTCCAACCAAGCCACATTCCAAATTTGTGGTTGTTCAAGATCAAGGAGAAAGTAAACAGTGGATATAAGAACAGAGAAAAAAGAACAATGGAAACCCCAGCACTATTCTGAAGGCCATTAGAAGGTCGATATTTGAGAGAAGGACTACACTGCACAAATATATTAAGTAAAAGCTCAAGTAGCAATTGCTTGCTCTGAACAGCTGAAACAACCAAACTGATATTAAAGGATAAAGATGAGGATTCCACAGATGTTGCTAAACTGCAACTCTTAAACTCTCTCATCATCAACCATATTGGATGGCACTGCTGCCAAATCCAGTTCAACAACATTGGAAGGAATAACAGTTTCTTGCAGAAGTAGGCCACCTATTATACAGGTAATCCTGTATAATTGTTGAAATTATTCAAAAATCATTTGAATAATATTTATGCCTGACCCCCCCCCCCCCCCCCGAAGTTATGGCTGATGCAGCACAGTTGTGGTCACATGATCAAAATTCAGGCATGGTAGTTCCCTCACACTAACAAGACTAATGGCCTCAGTGGCCCCACCTCTGCCTGAGTGCTGCTTCAGCGAGATCGTACTGGGGCTGAAGTAGAGGCCTTCCAAAGAATTGTGAGAAGGACATATGCAATTTAGAGAACAGTAGATGCAATTTGTAAAAAAGGAAGAAGGCTGGGGTGGCCAGTGGCCGCCTTGCATAGGGCCAGGCCAGAGATGCCTCAGTAGCAGAGGGAGGGAGAAGACAGCAAATGTCACCTAAGTGCAGTAGGGGCTGGTAGAGCATAAGATACAATAGATACTAGGTGGTGGGGGCAGCCGGGGCTTTGTGATGCAGTGCTGGGTTGCTGACTGCAGCATGGAGCTTGAGGCAACACTCTGCAATGGTGCTGGCAGTGCTGGGGCTGAAATAGAGGCCCAAGGCAGCCACAGTCAGTAGAATCTACTGAAGGTACTGGACTTTTACTTCAGTCCCAGAGCTACCACTGCTGCTGAAGGATGTCACAATCCCGGGTGGCCAAAAGAACAGTATAGGGGAGCTAGTCAGACGGAGGGACTTCAAAAGGAGAAAGTCCCTTATCTTATTGAAACTCAGGGCAGGGAGGAAGCAAGTCAGTAATGGCTTGGGTTGGAGTGAGTCCGCACCAGGATAATTCAATTAACAAAACCAAGGGGGATTGCTGAGATTTCTGTCACTAAGTAATGCTTTCCGACCACATCACTTAGGGATGGAAATTCCGGTTCCAATCACTAGCCAAGGGCTACCTGTACAAATAAATTATTTAACACAGTTCACAACTTTCAATGACTCTGGACAGCTCACAACAAGTTAAAAAAAAACCAATAAAACATAAAATACCAAGAAAAAATATGGCAAGCATGATAAAGTGTGGGTCTTAATCTCTCTTTCCAATCCCTTGGATGAATGTGTCATTCAAAACATTAAAACATGGAAATGCACAGGAAATATTAGTACTAAAAAGTATTTGTATATATGGCATCTAGAAGTGCTAATGCTTTGAACACTCCCAAATCACCTGGAGTTGGAACTTCATGATAATTACTCCAATAGAAAATCTTACTTGTCATTGTTTTTCGTTTGATGTTGCTCCTTCCTATTGGATTGGATTGGCAAGACTATGGAAGACTCTCTGATTTCTAGAAAGATAATTAAAGAAGTAGGAATAAATTATTTATTTTCTCAATAAAGAACATTTCCCATTTTTCTGATCAATAGAAACTCCTCATTATTAATTTGTATGTATATATGTATGCATGTATCTGTATATGTCTGTCTGTCTATCTAATATAATGCCTATATCTAATATCTAATATACACACATAGACAGACAGACATATACAGATACATGCATACATATATACATACAAATTACTTCAATAATGAGGAGAGGGAGAGAGAGAGAGAGAGAAAGAGGGAGGGGGGAGAGAAAGAGAGAGCAAACCTGCAATGTTCTCCCTCCTGCATCCATTGAAAAGAAACAGTACACAACTTTGATTTTAATTCAATGTCACTGCATCATATAGTATATGCAATATCACCCCAAAATGGAGAAAACCCTATGCAAGTCAATGCTTAGCAACCATAAGACTTTTTAGCAGTCACTCTCATTGCAATAGCTGGGTAAGATAGGCAAACATTTTCTAGAGAAGAGAGGTTTAAATTGCCAAACAGTGGCTTTTAAGTTAGGAATGTATTTTCCCTCTCTATCCAGAAAAAGTTCAAAGGATCTGAAAAAGGAATTCAACATTGTAGAGAACTAAAACATTTTGCATCAAAGAGATAGGGATTTTCTTTCCTCAAAACCCCAAAGCCCATCCTTGAAGCAAGAAAGCAATAAAGAACATGTAGGGGGTTCCAGCCCCTCTCTTTACACCCCTCTCTTTATTGCCTTACTCTCTGATTAGTTTTAAACCAATTCTTTTCTTAAGGGGATTTGGAAACAAACACGTGCAGTGTGAAAAGGTTCGGTATGCTCGTGTTCAGTTTTGACTAGTGCACCAGTTTGTTCTTGGAGCTGATGCTCTGGCAATGGTTACTCATGCCCTCATGACCTCATTCTTAGGTTACTGTAATGCACTCTGCACATGGTTGTTTTTAAGGATTACGGCATTATCTTTTTATTTACAGAAGCTGCCCAGAGAGAGCGTCATGAGAGGATGAGCATAAAAATCCAAGTAACTAAATAGCTGCTGTTGATCTTCTGGCCAAATATTATCCTTACAGTCTGTCTCGATGGCAAATTGAATATGAAGTAGATGCCCATATCCTAACACAGGATGTGCAGATCAAGCCAAAAGCAAGCAACAAGCATTCACTCACACGTGAATGAAGCTTAATGACCATTCATTCAAAAGAATCACAACACAGTTATGTTCAGAAAAGTAAAATGTCATAACCTGCTTTGTGTTCAAATTAACAGGAAGGGACAGTACAGACAACATGACTCGGCCCATGTGATCTCTCCATCGTGGAGCCTGCTTGGTTCAATTATTTTTTCTCTCCTGCCCTCTCTAACCAAACACGAGAGATATTCACTGTGTGGTCTATGTCGCCTCCCTCTGGGAGACAAGATGGACTGGACTTAAAAGAAGAGGCAACAGAATTAGTGCTTAGCATAGGGCACAAGTGGGAGGTGGTGATCCACTGAGCACAGCTTGCTCCCAAGTCTTGTGACACCAAATGATTCCAGCTAAGGGAAAAGGCTACCTAAAAGCAGAAGAGGTTGGAGATGATTAAAGTACCATGTGAATATCACTAGAAGTGTTTCCCTGCAGTGCACTGGATCTAAAGGTTATATGCAATGTCAAAAGTCATGACTTAAAATTTACAATGGATAACACTGTTATTTTACTCCTTCAGGAATACAGCTTAAGTGCAGAACTCAAGTAGAAAAAGGCTGCAGGATCTCTTCAGATTACAACCTCTCGGCAGATTACAACAAATAATGTCCCATTCCCAAATTTAAATTGTGTTCTAAACACGATCAGATGGACCTTATGTTTGATTCATGAACAACACAGTGGCTTTTACACTGAATGCCCTGAGCATCCTCAAAAAAATGCTCTTGAACATTTGCGAAGTGTGTCCTCCTGGCTCCTGAATAACTATTATTAGCCTGAGAAACCTGGTACTTTCCCATACTTGATACAGAAATGAAGCTTTCTCTCATCAAGGTATATTAATTATCTTTCTGTTTGGTCACTGAATTTGGCACTCATGGATTTCTGCATTTATGTATAGCCATTAAAGGATTTGTAAGGATTAAAATCAATTTTTAAAACATTAATACTTAGAAATCTAATTAAATTAGTAAAATGACCTGTTGTTTATTATCTCATACTAATGTAGACAGAATTCTAGCTATGGGATCATATATTAATTTATTTTATTTTGTTTTAATTTATTCAATTTATGCACCAGCCAGCTCTAAACTGACTTTGGGAGTGCATAATAAAACAAAATAGAATAGAAAACACAATATAACAGTTACAAAATATAACAGTTATAAAAACAAGTAAGAAAGTGATAAAAAAAATAAGAACCAAAGACTAACCCACTGACCATCCTAGCACAAGGCCTGGGAGATCAGCCAATTATTTAAGGCCTTCTTGAATGTCATCAGGATGGGAACTAAGGGATAGTAGGGGGAATCTAATTTTTAGAGTCTGTGTGGGATCAGCTATAGAAAATACAGGTTTAATGGTTAATGGCTTCCCTCTTTTAGCAACCATTCAAATTTATTATGGTGCTGAAAAAGTAGCTTTATAACTGGTCCTCAAACTTACAAGTATCATGGTGTATCCATGGTCATGGGACTACAATTTGGGTGTTTCATAAGTGGCACACATTTACAATCCTGCAACACAGAACCACAATTTGCGAGCTTCACAACCAACTTCCAACAAGCAATCAATGGAGAAGCTGTTAGTAAGCTGCAAATCGTGCTCATGTGACATTGTGCTTAAAAAACAGCAGTTGATTCATTTATATCAGCAGAACTAAGATGTACAAAGTCTGGCGCAATCATCTGAAGTTTCACTTAACAGCCATGTCATTTAGCAATGGAGTGGTTGGTCCCAACTGCAGTTGTTATATGAGGACTTCCTGTCGTGTAACATGCATTAAAAAGGCATGTGGAATAAGGGCTTTTTATTTAAAATCTTGCCTTAAAGCAGGTAACATATCAAAATAGAGATGATACAGAGACACTGAAGAGAATATCATTTAGGATTTTTAAAATATCCGTTTCAATGTCCAACTATGCATTATGACATCTTTATCATAATACACACATAAAACTTACTTGTGGCTCACACTATTTTTAAGAAATTAAATTTAAAAATTAAGAGTAGAATTTTTTAAAAAACAGCTTACCAACTGATTCTTTGCCATTATTTCTGCAGCCTGACAGAACTAAAAAAAGGAAAGCTATTGAGGCTTTACTATATAATTATCCATCTAAATGTCAGCTGTGAACATGTGATTCCTTCTTTTATGTGCCAACGGACTGTTCCCTTATGCCCATACTTAATTACAGCATGGAATATAGCACACACTCACTTTTGCCTTTGATACTTAATGTTCAGGGATTTTACTTCAGGCATTTCTCCTTTTTTCCCCACTCAGAGTACAGGCATATGAAAAATGCAGTCAATCTATATGCCATATATATATATATATGCTACACAAACTAAAAATCATAGATTTGTTAAAAGCCAATACTTTGTATACTGTCAATGAAAAATTCATTCAGGAAACCCAGTGTTTGGAGTTTTGAAGTTAGGTTAGGGTTAGGGTTACACTATAGATTATGAACATAGATAAATCTATTATTAATATTCAATTGAGAAGATGGGAATTACTGAGTGAATATAAATTCTTCAATTTGTATAATTGTTTTATTACAAAGGAGCTCTAACTTGCAATATGACGTACAAGGAGTACCAATTTTCCTTATTTTAAGTAAGCCATACATTTCCAAATGATATTTTCTTTCTGTACTTGACCAACAAAACAAAGGCTTCTTCAAAGTTAGCTTAACTCCTGGTCCACATAGGATTTTTTAAATTTTTGCCACTGCATTTTTCTGAGACTTTTTTCAAGTTTCTAGCCTTTTGTTCTATGTTTGTTATTTTTAACAACCTAATATTTGCAAATTGACTTGAGTAAAATAGTGAGCAGATCTGAGAGATACCCTCTCTTTTTACTGTATATTAAGATCTTTCAGCAATAGCTATTTCAGAAGATATACAATTTTCAGTACCACAGCTGAACAGATGTCACAGGACTTTTTCTAAGTTTAAGGCTATCAAGGAAATCTAGTTGATCAATTATTTTTCCCCTTTAGGAGTTTCTCATCTGAATTTTCCCATCTGAGTTTTAAATGTGAAGGAACGCAACCAATTATTCATGGCTGAATTTACAGAGCTCTGTGTTCATTTGAGAACATTCTGCCTCAGAAATGCCTCTACCACTGTCTGCTTCTATGTTTAGAGCTTCCAGAACTTGTTTTTAATCAAGAATTCTAAATCGTTACGTTGTATGTTACACTCCATTAATTAACAAAGGCATGAAATTGTTTTGCAGTTAATTAACTGCAATGTATATTTTAAAACAATGCCTTGAGTTTTGTTGCACATTTAAATGAGTAATGCACAGAGGATAAAATAAAATTCCTACAGATTTCTGAATGAAGTCAGTCAAAGGAGTTTACAAATATTCATTGTACAGTAAAGAACTGGCACAAAATCTGGCAAGTTTTTGATTCTCCCCATTGAAATTGGTTTAAACATGCTTGTAAAAGTTATAAAAATATTGGCTCTCGTAATCCAATTTTACCGGGGGTAGGGAGGACAAAAAAATTAAAAAATTATAGCTATTTATGTAACTATAGACATAAATGACTAAATCAAGAATCTGACTTGATCAATAATCAGAAAAGTTCCACAGTAAGTGGAATAAAATATTCAACTAACCATTTGATAGGTCATTTCTCTGTTTTTTGGCATGATTACTCCTGGGACTTGAAAATGGACTTATTAGACATGTTCCTGTTGTTGGTGAAAAAAGAAGGCCATTTTTCTTTCCTTTTACTGGTGATGTTGCTGGCACCTGGACCAACAAAAAACAACAAAAAGCATTTTGTATGTTAGGATAATGCAGTAAAAAAGCACTTGTCACATTCTCCCTTTCAATGCCGATATACTTATTATTTAAAATAGTTATAATCTACCTATCTTGCGATCCAGAGTTACATATATTTTAATATTTTCAGCATAATTCTGTGTTACATCAAAGTCAACTCAGGTAATTTTGCAAGAGGGTGATCTAAGTTATGGGTGTCACAACAGAAAAATATAGTTGATCTTAAGTGTGTCAACCCTCAAAACGACTTTGGCCATGCTTAACTTTTGTTTCATTTCCCAGTTGCCACTCTTGGGGGGTGGGAGTCAAAAGGTATTGGAATGTGGTGCCCTAACCTTCTAGACAAAATATTGACCAGAGTCATGGCAATGAACACCTGCTGAGATTGAGAGGGAAGCTGCTGATGAACTGATTGGTTAAGACACCTGAGGGGGGTGGGTGGGAAGTTTCTATTCTTTTAACTACCCTAAGGCATGGGAATTACTTAGAGCTAGCTTCAACTTTCTACGTGCTGACATGATGTACTCAATAAAAGGTCTTTTGAGCCTGACTGAAGTCTCAGAGTCCTGATTCAGTTGGGTTCATTATTCAGAATCATGACATCTGTAATAGAATGTACAACTTTGGAGAAGGTGTAGGGGGAGGATTTTGGCAAAAGCACTATGGTTTACTAGGGAAGCGACAGTGCACTCCAGAAAAAAACTCAAAATAAGAGACTGCACAGTTCTGAACTGGATGGGAGAGAGAGGAAGAAATTCAAGAAGCAACCTCCTATAATCTCTAGGGGTACTTCTATTACATTAGAAGGTTATAGTTTTAATCTGGCAAAATCTGTCTAGTAGGTATAAGCAAATAAAGGATTGGAGTCAATTTGATTTTGCTGTCTAATCCTTAGACTTGGGCCTGATAGCTGCAGGTTTTTATTATGATTATTAACCTAATATTTATTAAATGCCATATAAAGAGCAAGACATTTCTAACTCCAGTTTTGCTACTCAAAATTTATGGAAAAGTGGAGGGAAGGGAGGAAAAGTAGAATGAAATAAGAAATAAAGAACACTCAGGATTTAATTCTTAAGATTACAAATTAAAGTTTCCATCACCTACATAGATTCTCAAAACAGACCACAGAAGCCATTGGATGAGATATATTTTAGCGGTCTTGTAATTTGAACACTTTCTTGCAACATTTAGGAATACAGTTTTCACCCTCAGCAAAAAGGTAGTTCTTCTAATTTTCATGATTATTTTTACCTCTGATTTTTGAAAAACTAATGAAATTATAAACCTGCAGCAAGAGATCTGACTGAGCAAACATGCCAAATAATTATTCTTAAAATAAACATTTTCCCCCTTTGAAATTTCCATTTCAGAAGAAAAAGCAACTTTAGGGTGGAATAAAATAATTTCAAGCTGGATCACTTGTTTCCAAAAACACCCTTCTGACCTAGAAAGCAGATGCAAAATTACAGTCACAGCTGTATTTACAGCACATAATGAATAATAGAAAATGAAATTGCAAATTACATTGCTAATGATTGTTATTTGTTTGGCTTGAATTTTGTTTCAATCCAAACAAAGAGAAATATACATATTTTAGAATGGTCAAATTTTCAGTTTAGCTAAGCTATAGCAAATCTTCTATAAAATAAAATGGCACATGCAGACAAAAATGGAAATTCATTTTATTTACAGTTTGATATATTTTCCTATTATTTCTTCTCTTTCACAAGCTACCTGGTTTAGCTTCACAGAAACACCCATAATCAGTATTGGAAGAAAATAAACTAGTATATGTCATGGTACAATGGGTCTAGAAACACACAGTGCCACATTTTACCAATGAGAGAGAACAAAAGAGAAACACAGAAACGATATAATTTCATTTTTATTGTGATAACTGAATGTGAAATTTATTACAATGTTACAGTATATTATGTTGAATTACTTTTCTCAGCTAATTACATTCTCATCATAAAACGCCTTCATTTGGCTTTCAATTTTGCAGTTTATAATATGCAGATTATAGTATTATCATAATTGCATATTGTTATATGTACATTCAGATATCAGTGCATTTGCTTCACCAATTATAAAACTCATTTCTAATAAACAATGTCATAAAAACATTTGGTGCTGGAGAGAGATTTTAATAAAACAAAACAAAGAACAGCAATATATTTCCTTAGTTATAGTCAATTGTTTCATGCAAAGTCAGAATATTATATAAAATAACATTGCCTTCAAAGATCTCTAGTAATCACTTCTATACATTCAGATATATTGTATCGTTGATTATTAAATTGTTTATAATTTCTCTGAAATCTTGTTCATTTACACACATCAAAAATTTCCTAAAAATAATTTAAATACAGGACAGAAAAACAAAAATCTTACTTTTTCTGGAATAAGATTTTCCAGCTTCAAAGCTCTTTTAGCACTATAAAAGATGGAAAGCAAAGGAAAATGTTAATCTAAGTACATCCTTTACTGGTAGCTAGTAATAATCCCCATTAACTAACCCTAACCACATGCAAACAACATTTTCTTACGGTAAGAACTAACCTCATACAGGTATACATTGAACAAGTTGGTAATACTGCTCTGAAAACTGATCACATTTGTGCTGTTTTCTCACATGTGGCATACAACTGGAATAAACCCTTTGATTAGAATACCAATATCAGATTACCCAAAATATGTATTAACTATAAAGTACTACCGGTAATAATGAACATTGTTCATGGAACTGCATAGTAACTTACCTCATTATTTTTCAAGGTGAAAAAAGCAATTCTTATATTTCCGCTCTTAACATGATTCAGTGCTGCTAGACTACGACTGAATTAAGGAACAGATGCTCTATGACTTTACAGGTCCCTAAACCGTAAGAAAATATTTTCTCGCATTCTTCACTGTACTGATTCGGGAATGTGCCAGCTTCCTCTCTAAAATCTGTTTTCCTGAACTGGATGCCCAGCTGTTAATGGCAATACTAGAAATGAAAAGCTGAATATTTATAATATTTTAGATTGTACAGCTGTCTTCTAAAGAGCAGTCATCAGAATTTTATTGAATGCAGACTAAATACTTTAAAGAAAGAAAGATCAATATAAATTAGGACTACTGTTCCCAGAGACAACTCCAATGTACCTTCTCAAATCTTAACAATATTTAAAGGGCCTTTTTTCCCTGTAAAGGAACTAAGAATTATTTAATAAATGCATCAGAAGATAATTTTATATTAAACAACGTTTGCAGAGGGTTTTCATTTCAAAAAAGGACATTACAGGTATCACATTGGAAACAGGCCATTTTACTGTTTCCAAACAACCACAGCGCTAGAAAGAGTAAACCTCACAAAAAATTACCTGCATAAACGGCACTTATGTGCAATGCCAAAGCCCAAACTAATCTTGCAAAAAAATATTTTTACTTTATTTATTATTTTGAGATGAAACATATGAGAAAAGTTTAAGGACATCTTTGAAGTATGACTTTATATTGCTCGCTTAAAATGAAAATGAAAACCATTTTTGTCTTTAAAACAAACAAGTAACACTATATGGTATTTACATTTTTCATGTTAAAAGCGTTCTTGGCAAGATACAGTCAAAGCTGAAAGAATTTGACAAAATTCCTAAAGGAATGTTCTTTTTAATACATAGTGCCCGGTATTGCTTAAAGAATGTAGACTCCATTACATCTTCTGTATCTCAGTGGCAGCAAGGAAACACTGTGTACATTAATACATTCTCTCTGCAAAGATGCTGCAGGGGGCATGTATTTGCATTCGACACTAAGGCATGTTATGATGGAAGTTTTTACGGTGGACTTCAAAGAAAGCTGGAAGCAAAAGTACAGTGGAATCTGCACTCAAGATAGCTTTATGATTAGGATAAATGGCAAACTACATGAAAATCCCATTAAACTATAGCAAACTGGGGGGAAAAATCTAGGAAAAACGTTAGACTGGCCAAGCAGTATGCTATTTAAAATCTGTCAGAGACTTTGGGTGGCAGCAGAGTTACAGCATACCCAAATTTTCTTTCCTCTGCCTGTGGAAATGCTGAAAACTTGGAAATAATTGAACTCGTTAGCCATTCAGTCCAAGAAATTACCACTTTTCCAGGAGAAGAAAATTCGTGTTGCCACATTTCTGTTACACAATTATTTTAGGTACATATTTCCCCTATGCAATAGGAGTAAAACTCAACAGTTGCAAAGACCTTTACAGATTTAAGGAATGACATTTCTTAAATGGGAAAGTGAAGGAGCATCAATTCAAGGCTATATTGTGAAAAAGAAAGCATAATCTGAGAAGCATTTATTATGTTTCTTTTGTATCGTTCTTCTATAGCATAGTTATAGGAGGAGAAAATACATTTTATTTAAGCAGGACTGGTTTATCATTCAGATCAAATAGCCAAATGGGACAGTGAATCAATTAAATGTATAACAGTGTACAAGATGTGCTTTGGCTAATGCTGCCTACTAGTTGGAGGTAGCTTCTTCTCACCTTCTCAAAAGTTAATGCATGCAATGAGACATGCTTCCATGTAAAAATATACAAGCAAGGCCAACACTCAAGCTGTCAACAAAATATTTGTACTTTATTCTCTTGAGATGAAATATAATGAGAAAAGTTTAAGGACATCTTCGAAGCATAACTTTATATTGCTGGTTTTGATTTTAGGATTATTTTGAAAACGTATTACTGGAAAAAACAATTGTGTATTAAAAGAATAAGCTAAGTTATATGGTATTTATGTTTTCATGGTAAGAGCCACTCATATTCTTGCCAAGGGACAATCAAAGCTGAACAGTTGAGTCTTTCTCTGAGCTTGTTTGCTTGCAGATATTTCATTACCTGACTAGGTACAGTGTACAGAGTACACACTCATCAGTGGTACTGAGTGTGGTGTTTGCTCCCTGTTTATAAACAGAAACTTGCTTTGCCATAGTTGGTGGGGGAATTGTTTTCTCAATCATACTTCCTTTGATTACAGTATTTTTCCTTGACTTCCTTAATTCTTCACAGACCTTCAGGATCAGGGTACTAAGGAGAAAACCCAAAGCAAACACCACACTCACTAGTATCAATGATAGTACCTAATCAGGTAATGAAACATCCATGATCAAACAACTAAGCTCAGAGAGCACCAAGGACTCCACTATTCAACCTTAAGCTACGTATATTTTATTCTCTTGGTGAAGCTAAAACAATTTCACAAAATTCTCAGCAACATGTTCCCTTTTTAAATACAGGGCCCTGTAAATATAGAGCCTGTAAAAATACATATTCCTGTTTAAATTAAATTTATTTTCCCAAGAAATCCAGTGATGTGTAAGTCATAACACTCTTGCTCAGATGATTTCAGCAGAACCTGTTATAAACGATTAACAAGCCCTGGAACCACTTTCTGTCTTTTGAGCATAGGCTCAATTGTGACATGGAATTCTTGTGTTCTTATGAGATAAGGTGCACATATACCCATTCATTAAAGCCAGCATGACAACATAATATTTGAAATTTGGCATATTTTGAATAGCTTTCCATCATCTCTCAGCAGCAAGACTGGAGACAGTTAACTTCTAACTTAAGGCACCAAGTCACCTATTCCAGCAATAGTCTGGTCCCTATTTTTCTACTTGCATTTTTACATTCTTTCGAACTGCTAGGTTGGCAGAAGCTGGGACAAGTAACAGGAGCTCACTCTGTTATGTGGTACTAGGGATTCGAACTGCTGAATTGCTGACCTTTCTGATCAACAAGCCCAGCATCTTAGCCACTGAGCCACCGCGTCCCTTTATATCTTAAGGCACCAAGTCACCTATTCCAGCAATAGTCTTTTTTTTTTTCTCTGAAGAAAATCCTATAACCTTCTTAGCAGTGTGAAACATATTATGTTATGAATCATGGTATATTTATTTTTTGGCCATCTTGAGAATCAGCAATCCAAAACAGCAACATATAGTATAGCTGTTCTGCTCATTTAACCTCAAGGAATCTACCAATGTTATATCAATAAGTCTACATGAAAAATATGTATAATCTGCATTACATGAAAAGCAGCTAGAATTCATATTTCTACGATCATATAGTTTTAAAGTGCTACAAAATCGGAAGCCCAATCATATCAGTCTGCCATACACAAGACAGTATTTCTGAGTACTCAACTGCCTTTTTTGAACCAGCAAGATATTTAAACCAAATAAGGGTCCCTAAATCCAAAAGAACATTAACATATTTCAATGCCCTTTCAAAAGCTGATCTCAAGGCAAATATTCTGCAAAAAAACCTCTTCCAAGTTGAGATTGTACCCTTGTGGGAAAGGATCCACTGAATCTATAGTTCATGGCCTATAGTTTAAGGACATCTATGAGCACTTAAGGGCTTGTTTCATAATTTCCTAGTTTGCAAAGTATCCAGACAATTTTGAATTATTTTTGGTACAGTTGCTTTTATCATACCTGTAAATTTTAATTCTTTGAATGTAGTTAAGATTTTGTTACCCTGTCTATAAATTAAATATGCCCTGATTGCCTCAGTGACCTAGTTATAATTTTATGTTCTTGGTTTTATTCAAAATAGAAAGTAATTATGTGAATAACTCTGAGAATTCTGGTCAACCATAATAAATTATTACTAGCACCATTTCTATGGATACATTAAGCTTCTGAAATACTTCAGAAATCCATTATACTGCACACCTCATAATCCCTCAGCAATGGAAATACAAGATCTAGAATTTGATCCAAGTCATTCTGGGGAAATCTGAAATATTAATGAGTCACCTACACAACATAGAATATAGAGTAGTAGAGTTGGATGGGACCCTGGAGATCTTCTAGTCCAGGTCCCTGCTTGCGCAGGAGACCCTATACCATTTCAGACAAATGGTTGTCCAATCTCTTTTTTGAGCCTCCAGTGATGGAGTACCCACAACTTCTGAAGGCAAGCCATTCCATTGGTTGATTGCTCTCAAGTTAGAAAATGTCTTTTTAGTTCTAGGTTGCATCTCTCCTTGGTTATTTTCCAACCACTGCTTTTTGTCTTGCCTTTTGGTGCACAATTTTGCAGATTTTGGGCCACATTTTCTCTCTGATTTTAAAGGACTATAAAAATGTACAGCAAATCCTGGCATAGTTTAAAAGTAAAAACTCCTCACAGTATCAGGTCCAAATAAAAAAAAACTTATTTATCTGAGTAATGGAGCAATTTTGCCTTATTAGTTCAGAATTTAATCCTCAGCTCTCCTCCATCATATTAAGTAGAACTTCCACTAACCAAAAATGAACTACTTGGAGAATTAATAGAAGTCCATCACATATATGTCAGCTCACACATGTACATGTGCCTGATCATTTTTAGAGCTCTTGCTGATTATGGCTGGGTTCACATAATATTTAAAGCTAAAATCAACCAAATTGTCAAATAAATTATGGTCTAGCATTTTGTATAAACTCAAAGTTTGATGTTGCTCACTTTTTACTTGAATTGCACATCTTACTAAGATAGCACTAGCTATTGTACATTTGCCTGCCAAACTAAACCATAAACTATAGTTTAGTATGTGGTATGAATCCAACTCTGATAGTTAATGGTCAGTGAAAATTATGAATAAGTTATGTTTACTCAGTGGATCATCATTATTGTGTAATTTCCAGAAGCAGCAGCAGCAGCAGCTGTCAAGAGGAATGCTTGGTTCAAAAATAAAAACTTTAAATAGTTGGAATCATACATTTAATCATAGGTTGCTGAAGATCCTAATAACATTGTGCTAAGCCACCATGATTTAATGTGATGTGTGAACCCAAAAAACAGGAGTAACCTTATATATCCTTTATTATGCTAAATATATAAACTTTTCTGAAACAATATAAAGTCTCAAAAGTGTTTAAGACAAGCATTTAAATGGGAATTTTCATCAATGCTAAAGTACTATCAAATGAAGAGAGGTGGAAAAGAATGCTTCAATTCATACTAGGAAACAAAATGAGGTATATGTGCTGTATTTATTACCTTTTCAAGTACACAAAAAAAGGGAAATCCTCAACCTAATCATTATAAATCTCAGCAGGACTTTTTCCTAATTTATCAAGTTAAAGTCCATTTGGCTCTCTAACAAGCAGGTGGAAATCACTTTTCATCTGAATATTTATCCTATATATTCACTGAAGTTTTTCACAATCTAGTTCCCTTTTCATATCATTTCCAGATAGAAAAGCCGGTGTCACTTGGGCTGGAAATGATTGGGCTGCTAATGTAATACATTTGGAGGACACCAGATAGGTGGAGGCTCTTCACTGTTAGAAATATTAATTATGACGGGTGAGAGGAAATACATAGGCTGTACATAATTCCAAAGCACTAGTGCCATGGTTATTCCTGCATTAATAGCACTCTGAGTGGCAGCTTAGTGTAATGGTTGAGGCATCAGGCTAAAAAGCAGGAGATCATGAGTTCTAGTCCTACCTTAGGCACAAAGCCAATGGACTGGCTTTGGGGTCAGTCACTCTTTAGATCTAAGCAACAGGCAATGGCAAACCACTTCTGAAACACCTTGTCAAGAAAACTGCAGGGATTTTTCCAGGCACTGCCAAGAGTGAAAAACTAACTTGGCAAATGCATGCAAAAATTAGCACCTTACCTAGAATAGAATAATAGAGTTGGAAGGGACCTTGGAGGTCTTCAAGTCCAACTCCTGCTCAAGCAGGAAACTCTATATCATTTCAGACAAATGGTTGTGCAATCTCTTCTTACAAACTTCCAGTGTTGGAACATTCACAACTTCTGGAGGCACGTTGTATCACTAATTGTTCTGTCAAGAAATTTCTCCTTAGTTCCAGGTTGCTTCTGTCCTTGATTAGTTCCCATCCATTATTACTTCTTGTCCTGTCTTTCTTGTGCTTTGGAGAATAGCTTGACTACTTCTTCTTTCTGGCAACCCCTGAGATATTGGAAGACTGCTATCATGTCACCCCTACTCCTTTTTTCCCATTAGACTAGACATACCCAATTCCAGCAACAGTTCTTAATATGTTTTAGTTTCCAGTCCCGTAATCATCTTTGTTGCTCTTCTCTGCACTCTTTCTAGAGTCTCAACATCTCAACACCTACAACAACAGCACCTACACTCTTCTGTCAGTGTAGTGGAAGACAGTTATTAATGCAATAGGGCAGGGACCCCTAAACTTGGCAACTTTCAGACTTGTGGACTTCAACTCCCAGAATTCTCCAGCTAGCATAGCTGGCTGGAGAATTCTGGGAGTTGAAGTCCACAAGTCTTAAAGTTGCCAAGTTTGGGACCTCTGCAATAGGTGGAGAGGTCTCTGTCCGCTCTCCGGCTAACTTACACTCTTAACTGACACTGGCACCATCAGAACCCGTTGGTCTTCGGCTGTGTTCGCAAGACCTAGTGAACACGATTCTCAGAACATGCTTCCATTGAAATGCGACTAGCAAACCTAACCTCGGCCCTGCGCTGCCAGCCAACCCGCCTGCAATGGTGCCTCTCCGCTGCCCCTTCCCCCCCAATTTCCCTCTTACCGCGGCATCAGGACCACCTCCAAGCCTTTCCTCGGCAGCGAAGCTGAGACTCCCGCCCCAAGTCCGAACGGTGCAACGCTCAAAAGTGGCCGGGCGGGAACACCAACCCTAAGCCTAAAAACAGCGTTCCCTTTTGCTTGGCTTCGCGTGAGCGGCCGAGGCTCTTTATCGTTTTCCTTTCCTTTTGTTCTCCTCTTGCCCTTTTCCGAATACCATCAGATTCTCACCAAGATAAAATTTCCCGTAGTTATTTGCAGGCGAGCAGTGGCAAGAAAGAGAAAAGAGGCAGTCCTAAAATTCTGGATTTTATTTTTAGGAAAGATCAATGAAAATAGCCAGACTTGGGTTGATATTTTTCCTTCAGTGGTTAAGACGAATTCTGCCAAGCTATACGTTTTCCTGAAAAGAATTGCAGTGTCTTAGGTCCTTTGGTGTTTCACAGATGAAATTAAGGCTGCTGTCTGGTATTTCAATACTCTTTCTCCTTTCATTCTCTATTTTTTTAAAAAAAAGTTCCTAGAAGACCAGCGCACTCTGCAAATATTCAGTTCTCAGTTGAGCATTTATTGCATTACTCTTATACACACGTGGGCGCACCAACAAAGGTTTAAATAACATCATGAACAACAAAGGAAAATTATATTTTTTCCAGTTGTGGGAAAATACTGTAGTAAATAAAAAGTGAATGTTATCTCAGATATCCTAAGGATAGTCTTGCTTATGTTCTGGAAAGAAAAAAAACTCTACGTGCCTTGAAATGTTTTGACTTACTCTGCCAGTTCCAAATGTAAATACTAATTTTGAAAAAAAAAAGGGGGGGGGTTAGAATTGTTTTCTAGCAAAGATTAAGAATTTGCAGTTTCCCCAATGGGATTTGGTATAGGTTTTCAAGAATGGCACTGTGGCTAATGGCCAAAGAATCTACAAGAATAGTTGCTTGTAATAATAATCATATGTTAGTGCTGCCCTGAATCAATGCACAGCAGAACAAAACCCTCTTCGTTCAATGATGGGTGTCAAACTCGCAGTGTCAAAGCAGCATTACATGATGTGTTGCACCTTTTTTCACCTTTGCTAAAACAGTCATGGGTGTGGCCAGCACATAATGCATCCAGCCCAGGGCTGTCTTAATAGGATTATTGGCTCCGGGCAAAGCAGTATACTGGAGGCCCTATGGGAAGTACTCACTGGAATAAAATGTAAATGTAAATAAAATAAAATATATTTATTTTATTGGCATTTCCAACAAATAAATATGTAATAAATATGTTGCTGTATTGATATGATACAAGGTGCATTGAAGGGTTAACATACACAGATTAGTATAGGGCCTTATGCTCGTGGGGCCCACGGGCAAGTTCCCATCAGGCCCATGCATTGAGATAGCCCTTGTCCAGCCCGCGGGCCATGAGGTTGACCCCTCTGTTATAGAATGTCATCAGCCACACTAGATCATTGCAGATTGAGAGATAACCTTCCTTCCTACCCAGCTTGCTGTCCAGAATGATTTGCTATACCACATTGGCTCTCAATTATATGTAAACTTAAGGTATAATTAAATGTTAAATGAGTCATTACATCTGAGCCTACACAGCCTTACCTATTTCTGGCTACCTATTGAGCACATCAACATTTCTATACAATAATACGACATTAAAGGTAAAAGGTAAAAATTCCCCTCGCACAAACGTGCTAGTTGTTTCTGGCTCTAGGGAGTCATGCTCATCTCCATTACAAAGCCGAAGAGCTAGCGCTGTCCAAAGACGTCTCCATGGTCATGTCTCCATGGTCATGATTAAACACTGAAGGCACACGGAACACTGTTACCTTCCCACCAAGGTAGTCCCTATTTTCCTACTTGCATTTTTACATGCTTTCAAACTGCTAGGTTGTCATAAGCTGGGACAAGTAACAGGAGCTCACTGAATTATGCGGTGCTAGGGATTTGAATCGCCAAACTGCCGACCTTTCTGATCTATGTCTTAGCCACTGAGCCAACGCATCCCATTACTGATTCTCAATTCATAAAATTAGTTATCCGCTAATATCAAGAGAGTTCTCATTAAAGCAACTCAACAAACTTCCAACTATCCTTTTCCTTCAATGAGCCTGTGATTCACTCATCTCTCTTATACACTATGGAATAAACATTGGTTTTCCCTCTCCCCCAGCTATCAATTATCATCATTTTTGAGTAATATTTTTGTCAGATGCAATTGATTTCTTTTATTGAAGTTTATTTAAAACATTTATATAGCTGCCCATCTTTTGCCAATTCTGGACAGCTTCCAATCAATATATTTGCAAGCATAGATCTTCATTAGACTGCAGGCTTCTGGTATAATCTGAAGCATAAAAGAATCATATTTACATTGTTTGCCATTTTCATTCACTTGTAGCCATATTGTAGGTAGTATCTGAGAGAGGTGAATAGCAACTACTCCCTAATCCTGCAACACCTCAACTGTGCAGAATGAACAAGTATAGGAACTATAGGAACTAACAGAGTTTCCTTTAGTACAAAACAGACTTACTACCCTAGTATATCAAGATGACATCAATAACATCTTGGGAGGACTATATGGCAGAATATTCAATATGAATTATTAGATGTGCATGGTTGTGTTCTAGTCTTGCTGATAGATAAATAAATTACTCAGAAAAGCAGTATGAAGGGGAAATAGTTTTAAGTGTAAATATGAGATAATTACTCTGAAGAAATAATAGGAATTAGACTTTGAAAATTCTACATCTGGCTTCACACCATATTAGCCTCGCCAAAATTATCTCTAGCAACATTTTTTATTGAGCTTTCAATGCAGCTTTTATTTGAATAACCATAGTGAAAAAAGCTTTCTTCCACTTAAATAATCTGCATACTATATAACTGCCCAAATGAGAAATGGCTAAATAATGACAGAGGTCATGAGCAGAGACACATGTTCATACTTGATGGAGTGGATGGCTGTAAACTTAACATTCTTTTGTTCACTCATTGGCTAGAACTCACTGTCCTTTGTGTGTGCTAACACTGGTTCTTAATTATTATAGTGACACAAGTTTGCAGTAACTGGACTGTATCCCTGGGGCCACTATAGTATGAAACTGTCAAGCAAGGCAAACAGTTGTTATAAATAGGGTACTTTATCCATGATAAGTGATTATTATCTTTCTTTCCCAAGTGCAAAAGCCCTATATAATTCAAAAAGTTGCTTGTGATTTAGGCCTCTCAAATAAGGCTCCAGTAAGTCCTGAAAGGGTCCCTACCTACTGTTGTCTTCTTACTGAACTTGATGTATTCAATTTTATACCATAATATATTTTTCAGAAGTCACTCCTGGATTAAATAATTTTACAGGCTGTTCTATCGACAATACAGTATGCTACAGTTTAATGCACTTTGTGATGGTCTTCTAAAATCTTAAATCACTTTTGGTCAAAAAAAGAAAATGACACTCTACTTCTACTAGTTATACGCGAGAAAAAAACTTGCTCAATTATAACTGTTTAAAAAGAAATGCTGTAATGGTAGTCACTTGTAATAGATGATATACTGCTGTTTTCCATAGACCTACTGAATTTACATTCACTTGACTCTTTTTTTGGAAAAAAGAAACTACAACTAACTCTGCACCAAAGGTAATCAAATTCTGACAAGAATTAGCTGAACTTTTACAATAATTTTAACAAAACCTATTTTCATTGATGCATGCTTAGCATTTCAATAATGTACATCAGGGTCCCTAAACCCTGGACTATGGTCCATTCTGGCCTTGGACTGTTTGCATCTGGGCCGCGCGACTAGCTGGCCAATGCACATGCTCATCTCATCTTGTGCAAATAGCAGGCCAGTACGCATGCTCGCAGCTCGACTTCCACAAGTGGCAGGCTGGTGTGCATGCTGTTTAATTTGCATGAGCGCAGGCCTGCACACAAGTGTGCATGGCGGGCTGCCACTTGTGCAGTCCTGCTCCTTTCTCCCTCCCCCGATTAGGCTGCCAAACCATAAAAGGTTGGGGTTCACTGATCTACTGGAGCAAATGTACCACAATAATTCCCATTCAGGTGTTACAATTATTTTTATATTTCATCTTTCCTCTGAAGAATTCTAGAGAATTTCTTACTTAAATAATATTGTAGGGGAAGTATAGTAAGTGATCCAAAATCAGAGCTGTTTGGGAATTTGAATCTGGTATTCTGACCCAGGCTTAGCAGAACCAAGAAACAGACTCCTTGTCCCCCAAACTCCGTCTTTATTTAGTTACTGTGAATTCATGGCATTCACACACAGAAAATAATTTTCACACACGGCGATAATTCTTCCAAGGGTTAAGTGGAAGAACAGACCTTATCAGTCCTTGGATAATTGCCAGGCCAGAGCTTCCTGTTGCAAAGCTGTAAATTAATTCCTGGCAAAGAGTCTTGAACCACGATAAGCAAATCTTCATAATAATAAGCAAACTAATTGTCTCCTGAAATCACCACTCCTTTTTTGCTTCTATTTATTTCCCAGGGAGGAGTCATTCAGCATCTACATATGCCTTTCTTTCTGAGTTGGCCCCTGTTCCTTAGTTGTTCTCCTCTCCTGGCAGCTCTGCACATACGCGCATCTGGAACAGGCTCCAGTTGTTCTTCTTCCCCACTTATCTCCAATTCCGTAGGCAGCTGGGAAATATCAGATGGCCCTGGCCCTATCTCTGCTTCCAACGCAGAGCACCCATTAGAGCCTTCCCCAGACTCCAGGACTGGCCCAAGTTCCTCCCCAACCTTCTCAATGTCCGAGTCTGCTGCTAGCTCCGCTGGCAGCTGGCGAGCCACAACATCTGGGCCAGTTCTAGATGAAAAAGAACTGCACGCTTAAACATTCTTTCTAAAAGGCAAATTCCATTCAGTGTAGTGGAGTTTGTATTATTAATTAAATACATTAAATTAGATTGTAAAGAATTATAAAGTATTTTGTTTTGGTCTTAGCATGTAAAGCTTACCATGGTAGCTTGTCAGTTATGGTTTCCAATTTAGGTTATGCAGATCCAAAAACTGGGGCTTATTCAATCCATGGTCAGAAAGAAGTCATGATTTAGCATAATATGTAAATCTAGACAGTGAG